AGGGTCTGTAACTGTGACGTACCTGTGAGTCGTTGGGGTCTGTAACTGGGTTATACCTGTCAGTCATTAGGGTCTGTAACTGTGACGTACCTGTGACTTGTTAGGGTCTGTAGTTGGGACGTACCTATGAGTCATTAGGGTCTGTAACCGCGACGTACCTGTGAGTCGTTAGGGCCTGTAACCAGGCTGGAAACGAGCCGTTTCCTCGAAGATCAGCTCCTTCAACGCCTCTTTGGGTAAATCGTCCAGCTCCATATCAAATTTTAGGGGAATGTCAGCAACAGGCTTCAGGGGACAGAGGGGACAGGTTGAGGTGAACGAGTCTAAAACAATCAGATTCAGGTTGTCCGGACGGAGCGGTGGGTCTCACCTCGTCTGTCGGGTCGTAGTATTGTTCCAGATAGGGGTGAGCGAGGGCCTCCTCCACCTCGATCCTCTTGTTGGGGTTAAAGGTCAACATCTTGTCCAGCAGGTCCAGAGCTGCAGCACAACAACAAGTTCAACGTTTAATGGGACAAAAACTGGCAGCGGGCCTGAACACTAGAGGGCGCCGTACGCCCAATTCACAGAAAACCAGTTTGGACGATGGTCCCGTTTGAAAATAAACTCTTTCTAACCTCAACATGCAAGCAGGAGCGATTTACTGTGTACTGATGAGGGTTCTGTTTAACGGAGCAGAACCTTCTGGATGGTTGAAAGAAAGAGCCGTTTGACTCTGAAGTTACATGTTTGCTGTGAAAACAAACATGAAGGCAGGAAGCTTCTTTAAAGCCCAGTCTGCTGCGACCAGTAAGAATTCAACAATCCCTCCTCCCTGAACGAGAGTCAAAGTACGAGTTTGAGCTTTCTAGGGACAAACAGGAACTTTAGGTACGAACATCAATAAAACAACTTCATCACTGCCGTCAAGCACAAGACAGACCGTCGAATGAAATGCTGACGTTTTCCGTCCTCAGATAAAAGATTTCCTAAAACATACACTTTAACATCAGAGCGGCCATTTGTTCTTCAGTAGTCGTGATCAACAGTTCTTCAGTTGGTTTTACTTTTCAGACCTTTGACCTGCTCAGACTCAAGGAGCTCGAGGGATGAGCCAGAAATATGTCACCACCCAAAAGATCCTGTAAAGGACCAGTTTAACTCAAAGCTGTTCCCAGCTGCCGCTCCCACACAGTTTGACCTGAATCTATGAAAAATACCAAACTACAACTGAGAACACGAGAACTTAACACAAGAACTTAACACGAGAACTTAACACGAGAACTTAACACGAGAACTTA